ATTTTATTGAATAAATTTACTCTAGTATTTCAAGATATTTTTGTCTTATTTTGGTAAATATATCTGTTAAAATGAGTTGTCAGTCTTATTTTCATTTTTGTGTAATTTAGACAATTTATCCATCCCACTCTGTATATATAAATAAAGACAAAAGGAAAAAATTTTCTTCATCAACATATTTTGTTTTCAGATGAACTATATCAAAGCAAAAGTCTATCAGAGGGTGAAATGTATTAGTAAATAAAAGTTCTCTTTTTATGTTTATTCATATCATCTTTTTATAGATATATATCTTTATATCTTAATTTTTTATATTCATATATATATATATATATATATATATATATATATACTGGACACCTCTGTCATTTTTGATGCATGAGGGTCAAGCAACTCAGTTCCTAGGAACCGACAGCCAAACACCTGCACATATGATTTATTAAAGTGGCGAAGGCTTTGTGCAGAACAAACCACACTTTTTGTAGAGCTGAATACAGAGACCTAATGCAGTGTGTGCCCAAATGAGCCTCCACAGGTTTTGAATTCAGAATTGTCCTTCTCCTAGACCAGTTGCCATCCAAGGCTATAGAACCCACTCCCAGTCTGTCCTGCTATTTTCCCATAGCTAGAGGGAGAAGAAGAGGATTCATACTTTTCCCAAGGGTGATAAAACGTAAGTGAATGCAATGCATTTGACTGCCATCATACCTTCATAATTATATATATATATATATATATATATATATATATATATATATATATATATATATATAAATTTGTAATAAATTAAAAATTAAGTAGGTACAGAAATTCAACTATGTGGATCAAAAAATGTCACACAGATATCTGAAGGCACAGAGGAACAGCAAAAAGATGTTTTCTAAGTATTAAGGAAAATATTGTTACAAAGGAAATTGCCATGTAACATCTAATTTCCTATATGTCAGTGAAGACTGCATAATTTCCGGATTAAGAAGAGACTTGAATTAATAGAGAAGTGCTAAGAATAACATAGTACATGTGAGCAACAAGGAAGTCTTAAAGAAAAAAGAAACAACAAAGAAACTGATGCTTATAATTTCTAGGACATATAATCAGGAACTGACCCCTCGAATTATCACCCTATTGGTCTCATATCATTTTGGCTCTAATTCATGTTCCTTGCTTTCCCTGACACTTACAGTCTACAAAGATTTAAATGCAACACCAACCACAATCTTCTGACTTCCTGAAACCTGTTCTTTTATTATCCTTTCTCTTCAATGACATGTTCTCATACCCTTTTACTAGCAGTAACCCCTTGCATCTTAGTGGCATTATCGCCTTGCTTGGGGTGAAATTATTTTAAAAAGAAAAAGAGAGAGAACAACTTAAATTATCTACATTATTCAAACTGTTATCCTCATTTCATTGCCATATTCACAATGTTTCAGCTGTTGTACACTCCAGCCTTCTTCAAGTGATTGGAATTTCAAAGCAAACCCTTTATTTGGTCCACCATTGTTCTAGTTCCACATGCCAAGCCTCTCCCAGATATCTTAGTTATTTCCCTTTAACTCAACTCTCCAGGTTTTTGGTTCACCACTGTTGTAGCCTGGTACTGAACTCACAACTCTCTGGGTCTAGTCACTGAGGAGTTGAGTTAAAGGGAAATAACTGAGACATCTGAAAGAGGCATGGCACATGGAACTAGAACAGTCTATCCTGGTGGACCAAATAAAGGGTTCAGTTTGAGATTCCAAGCACATGAAGAAGGCTGGAGCATACAATGGCTGAATATAGCAATGAAGGTAACAGTCCAAATAATGTAAATAATGTACATAAACATAATACCTCATCTCAGAGATATAGACAGATATTGGGAGAATTTAACACTCTCAGTGCATATTGAATATAAGTGCAAAGTGAAACAGGTTAACGGTTTTGGCTGAACAGATAGCAGAGCAGAAACAAAGAGAGATGGAAATGAAAGAAAACAGGAATCTGTGGAGAGCCATGATTACATATGTTAGTGTATGCATGAGCTATAAATGAATCTTTCATTGGAATTTTGATTGATCTTTTTCCAACATGAGGCATTTGAGATAAGCAATTAATCTGCAAGCAATTTGCAGTGACATTCATTACAGCAGCTGCACAATTATGAAATATTAAAGTAAGGGAAATTAATATAAAACATATAGCAACACTGGCAAGGCCACCCAGCATAACCTGGGTTATTATTCTAAAAAACAAATAAGATAATAGGATTTTTGAAATAAACTCATTATAGCAGTAGTTATCTAACATGGTTTATCATGTAAATTCAAATACAATCTTTATTTGCATGATTAGATTGCCCAGTAATCTTGTTAAATAAAATCAAAATCAATCTTCTAGTTTTTACTGAATCATTTGAGATATTTTGAAAACAAAATTTATTTCTATAGTAACATGGCAAAAGAACAGAGTTTCTAATTTCCATTTCATTTCGGGTTTAATTTTATGTAAACTTCAGATAAAACATAAAATGTTTAATGCTTTTGTTCATAATAGAAATAGGGGTTCAGTTTTCTATCATTTGTCAAATGAATTCACTTTAATTTTTCTTGGGAACCTATGGAATAGAACAGAAATTTCTTCTTTTATATGCTGTCTTACATCATGAGTTCCCCACAAATCCCTATCCTTTTTCACTCTAATGTTTGTGCTCATACTATCCATCACAGTGTCTGTTTTGCCATCCATTTATACAAGTGTCTTAGGTAGGTTACTTGTATCTCTCTGCCCCTTTTGTAAAAATAAAATATGACCAGACGTTGGACTATTGTCCTCATCTTTGTTGCCATATTTATCACATTTCGGCCGTTGTATGCTCCAGCCTTCTTTAGATGGTTGAAATGTCAACCAGAACATTTTATTTTGCTCACTGAGGTAGATTGTTCTAGTTCCACATCCCATGTCTAATGGATGTCAGTTATCAGTTATCTCCTGTTAATTCACTTCTCCAAGTTTTCCACTGCCTTGACCAGGTATTGAACTCAAAACTCCTTAAGTGTGCCACAAGGACACATGGCACAGTGGTTAAAGGTGTTGGTCAGATCCAGTGACAGGAGCCAATGATTCCAAATTGTTTAGTCTTGTAAAGGAAGGCTTATTCTTCATTTTGGAGTCTCTTCTCCATGTATGCAACATTTCAAACATGTTTGCTACTCTAATCCCTATTTCTATGGAATATGTTCACATGAGATCCATTTTTTAGTTCTTTACTGATACAACATACCAGACTACTTCATAGTAATTTGCTCCAGTTAAAAAAAAAACATTAATATCCTAACACCAGATTGTAGAGGAAATCACTAGAGATCACTTTTTATATTTTTTTATTTTTAACCTTCATCACAAGCAAGGCAATAATGCAATTAAGATGCAAGAAGCTACTCAGAGTGAAAGTGAATGAGAAGACTTTAAAGTTACTGGAAACCCAATTCCAAATAAGAAACAAGTGATAAACCTCTATTCCTGTTCAAAAGACCAGGGATGAATGTGGGGCAAAATATGGCTTGTCAATTTCAATGACTCCAAAACTAAACATCTCTCCATTAATTATCTGAGAGACCTCTCTCTGCTTTCCATCAGCATAGCTGATACTATCCCCCAGGAAAGCGACTCATTGCACATTCTCAAGCTAATATTCTCAGCTGACATGAAGTGGAAAGATTATATTGAATCCAATGCTCGGTCAGCTGCTAAAAAATAAGTTCACTGTGTTGTGCGAGACAATTTTTCTCTCCAGAATCTATCTTGCATATCTATAAATCTACCATTCATCCATGCTTAGAATATTGCTGTTATATATTGTCTGGTGGTCCTGCTATTTAACTGGAACTCCTTGATAAGATCCAATAAAAGAATCAAGAATATTATCAGTCCTACTCTTGTGGCTCGGCTTCAATCACTTGCCCACCACTGTAAGGTTACCTCTCTGTGCCTTTTTTATAAATACTTTCATGGTAATTGTTCAGATGAGCTTTTCATTATGGTACCTAAACATCATGTTCATCTTTAAGTGCAGTACTAGACTGGATTTGAGATCTCATCAATTTACATTAGAGCTGGCTAGATGTAGCTGTCAATTTTATGCGAAAAGCTTCTTTTCTTGCACTTCTTGCTTGTGGAACCCCCTTTCAGCTCCATGCATTCTAGCCAATTTTAATCTGCAAAACTTTAATTGCAATGTCAATTACTATCTACTGTCCTCCTGATTGATCTTTTCTTTTTCTACTCATTACTAATGTTTCTGTTCCTAATCCCTCCACAGGCTGTAACCGCTTATGTGTTAGTGGCTGTACTGCCTTGCTTGGGGTGATATCAATAGAAAAAAGAAAAAAATATATATCTTGCATTTTATATGCTAAAAATTTCTCAGCCTGACAAAAAACTCCTTCCAAAAAATTCTGATGTTTGGCCATTCATTCAGATTTAAAGAAATTGATCAAGCTGAGAACTTTCCAGAATATTCTATAATTATGTGGTTGCAAAGAAAGTTCTCACAGTTACTAGAACATTAAATTTATTTTGTAACTTCACAACCCTTTACATCCAATCAAATAATAACTGTATTTTTGCATATTATTTTACAGTGTTTTTTTTTCCATTTTTATGGATTCTTATAAACTTTAAAATGAGAGTTAAACATGATTATCTTTCTTCAACACATAATGGACAAAAATAAACTAAGTACAGTAAGTTGCTGGTTTACAACAGTCCTGACCTACAATGATTTGTGATTATGATGCAATCTCCATTAATCTTGTTTCAATTTATGCCATTTTGTCTCATACAGACAAGGGAAATGGTACAGCAGAAGAATACAAGATTAATCCAAATTATGTTAACATATGACATAGAAATGTGTTATGTCCTAGATTATTACTTCACTATTAGATTAGCATAGACATGAGTGATGTAAGTACTTATTCATGGAGAATCACAAGTACATTCCAATTTACACAGTCATGTTACAATACATTGTAGGAATGGAATGAGAAGCCTAACATGTTGTAGATACGGAATGAGAAGCCTAACATGTTATAGATATGGAATGAGAATCTTAAAACATTGTAGATACGGAATGAGAAGCCTAACACGTTGTAGGAATGAAATGAGAAGCCTAACACATTGTAGATACGGAATGAGAAGCCTAACATGTTATAGATATGGAATGAGAAGCCTAACACATTGTAGGAATGGAATGAGAAGCCTAACACGTTGTAGGAATGAAATGAGAAGCCTAACACATTGTAGATACGGAATGAGAAGCCTAACATGTTATAGATATGGAATGAGAAGCCTAACACATTGTAGGAATGGAATGAGAAGCCTAACACGTTGTAGGAATGAAATGAGAAGCCTAACACATTGTAGATACGGAATGAGAAGCCTAACATGTTATAGATATGGAATGAGAAGCCTAACACATTGTAGGAATGGAATGAGAAGCTTAACACATTGTTGGAATGAAATGAGAATCTTAAAACATTGTAGGAATGGAATGAGAAGCCTAACACATTGTAGATACGGAATGAGAAGCCTAACATGTTGTAGGAATGAAATGAGAAGCCTAACACATTGTAGGAATGGAATGAGAAGCCTAACACGTTGTAGGAATGAAATGAGAAGCCTAACACATTGTAGATACGGAATGAGAAGCCTAACATGTTATAGATATGGAATGAGAAGCCTAACACATTGTAGGAATGGAATGAGAAGCCTAACACATTGTTGGAATGAAATGAGAATCTTAAAACATTGTAGGAATGGAATGAGAAGCCTAACACATTGTAGATACGGAATGAGAAGCCTAACATGTTATAGATATGGAATGAGAATCTTAAAACATTGTAGATACGGAATGAGAAGCCTAACACGTTGTAGGAATGAAATGAGAAGCCTAACACATTGTAGATACGGAATGAGAAGCCTAACATGTTATAGATATGGAATGAGAAGCCTAACACATTGTAGGAATGAAATGAGAAGCCCTAACACGTTGTAGGAATGAAATGAGAAGCCTAACACATTGTAGATACGGAATGAGAAGCCTAACATGTTATAGATATGGAATGAGAAGCCTAACACATTGTAGGAATGGAATGAAGCCTAACACGTTGTAGGAATGAAATGAGAAGCCTAACACATTGTAGATACGGAATGAGAAGCCCTAACATGTTATAGATATGGAATGAGAAGCCCTAACACATTGTAGGAATGGAATGAGAAGCCTAACACATTGTTGGAATGAAATGAGAATCTTAAAACATTGTAGGAATGGAATGAGAAGCCTAACACATTGTAGATACGGAATGAGAAGCCTAACATGTTGTAGGAATGAAATGAGAAGCCTAACACATTGTAGGAATGGAATGAGAAGCCTAACACGTTGTAGGAATGAAATGAGAAGCCTAACACATTGTAGATACGGAATGAGAAGCCTAACATGTTATAGATATGGAATGAGAAGCCTAACACATTGTAGGAATGGAATGAGAAGCCTAACACATTGTTGGAATGAAATGAGAATCTTAAAACATTGTAGGAATGGAATGAGAAGCCTAACACATTGTAGATACGGAATGAGAAGCCTAACATGTTGTAGGAATGAAATGAGAAGCCTAACACATTGTAGGAATGGAATGAGAAGCCTAACACGTTGTAGGAATGAAATGAGAAGCCTAACACATTGTAGATACGGAATGAGAAGCCTAACATGTTATAGATATGGAATGAGAAGCCTAACACATTGTAGGAATGGAATGAGAAGTCTAACACATTGTTGGAATGAAATGAGAATCTTAAAACATTGTAGGAATGGAATGAGAAGCCTAACACATTGTAGATACGGAATGAGAAGCCTAACATGTTGTAGGAATGAAATGAGAAGCCTAACACATTGTAGGAATGGAATGAGAAGCCTAACACATTGTTGGAATGAAATGAGAATCTTAAAACATTGTAGGAATGGAATGAGAAGCCTAACACATTGTAGATACGGAATGAGAAGCCTAACATGTTGTAGGAATGAAATGAGAAGCCCTAACACATTGTAGGAATGGAATGAGAAGCCTAACACGTTGTAGGAATGAAATGAGAAGCCCTAACACATTGTAGATACGGAATGAGAAGCCTAACATGTTATAGATATGGAATGAGAAGCCTAACACATTGTAGGAATGGAATGAGAGCCCTAACACGTTGTAGGAATGAAATGAGAAGCCTAACACATTGTAGATACGGAATGAGAAGCCTAACATGTTATAGATATGGAATGAGAAGCCTAACACATTGTAGGAATGGAATGAGAAGCCTAACACGTTGTAGGAATGAAATGAGAAGCCCTAACACATTGTAGATACGGAATGAGAAGCCTAACATGTTATAGATATGGAATGAGAAGCCTAACACATTGTAGGAATGGAATGAGAAGCCTAACACATTGTTGGAATGAAATGAGAATCTTAAAACATTGTAGGAATGGAATGAGAAGCCTAACACATTGTAGATACGGAATGAGAAGCCTAACATGTTGTAGGAATGAAATGAGAAGCCTAACACATTGTAGGAATGGAATGAGAAGCCTAACTCATTGTACGAATAGAATGAGAAGCCTAAGGTTTTGTTTCTTAAATAACAAAGACAATTTCTGTCATGAACAGTTTGACATTTTCTTTTTTTTCATTATTATTTAAATCATCAGTCCATGATTTGTATGATGTTTCAAGCAAATAGATATAAAAAAAAAAAGTTAATGAAGGAATGCTGTCCTGATTCATTTGTCACACCTGGTCATAAGCAATCAAGCAATAATAGCAGTAGTCGTAATTGGCACCCACTCACACCCAAGCATTGTCATCCTCGCTCCTTATTTTCTTTCTCCCCTCTGGTGGTACCCTAGAGATAGACATGAAGGCCCAGCCTATTACTGGAGTGTCATGAGCAGGAGTCACAGTGGAATGTGGATGGCAGATGTGGCTGGCCTAATCGGGCCTTCCTGAAAATATGTCATAGGTCCTTGTCATGGGTGTTGGACTCAAATGTCTCAGTTCCCACTCAGATGATCCTATGCCAGAATGTCTGATTTACAGCAACTGTTTCCCCAGTCTCAGAGTTGATATTGGCCTGTGTCAGGATGTCTTCAACTGATCCTTGAAGTGTTGTTTTTGGCTGCTGAATAGCCTAATGCCACTGGCAACTTCTCTAAATAGGATGATACATGAAATTTGAATGGGGTGCATTCTGGACCCAACCAGCGAAGGTAAAATCAAGCAACACCAAAAATTCACATGCCTGTTTCTTATTTGCATGTTAATTTTATCATGCTGTTCAAGCAACAGAACATTTACATAGCAGGTATGTCACTTGAGTACTTACTTCCAGATTTGACAATTAAATCAGTGACAAATCTGATGTGCCAGCAATTCTGTTGCTTAAACAGCATGATAAACTTTTAGGCTTTCTTTTTATTACTTAAAATCATTCCTCTAATTCACTTATTTTTACTTATTTTTTCCAGTAATACTGATGTATTAAAGTCAATTCAGACAAGAATTAAATTTAATGTTCTTTGAATTTTTATTAAATTTTGACAATACTGCAAAAAGAGAAAAAGCACAACTACAAACTGTGAATTAGAGATGTCATCATCAAACAAGTACAGAAGTTTAAATGTATGGGTAGTGTTTTAACAGAGGATGGAAAATAGGGTACCAAAATCCAAAGCGACATTGAAATAGCAAAAGAAGCTTTCCAAAAGCTAAGCTAAGTACTAAGAAACAGAAAAATTTCATTAGAAACAAAGAAAAGCATGGTGTATTGTTACGTATCCCCTTGTATGGGAGGAAATGCTGAAGAATCTCCCCATAGATAGAAAACAAGAGGCAGCAGAAATGTGGTTCTACAGAAGGATGCTGAGCATTCCATGGATGGAGCAATTAAGTAATGTAATCAAAAAGAAAACTTACACTCAGAATCAGAATGAGAGAGCTGAAATTTCTTGCACACATAATGAGAAAGGAGGACTTGGAGAATTTGACACTCACAGTACTTATTGAGAGCTAAAGGCACAGAGGAATACAGTGGTCCACCTAACTGACAAGCCTATGTGAATGAATTTCAGAATGTGGAGGAGGTTTGGCCAAGGGATAAAATTTAGTAAGGGATAGGAAGTTGTAAAGGGCCATTAGTGCTCACATTCTGACTTAGACTGCCAAATAATCATGCTTTGGTAATAAACCAATATTTTAATTGCTGTTTTTCAAAGCAGATAAGGACTCTTCCAATTTTAGAATATTGTAAGCAATACAGTCTTCTCCATCCCATAATTATCCATCTTTTATATTCTGCCAGAAACATGACATAAAATGCCGCTGTGATTCTCTCTATTGAAACAACCTGAACAATTCCTTATCTAAGCAGTGCTTAGTTTCTGACCAAACAAATTCAGGGCTAATCATTTTGATACACACAAGCATAATGTGATATCATAATGCCCAGCCTGTATTTAATCAGCCATATTTCTATTATTGATGTGATTCTCTGATCATTGGGGACTGGTTATGAGCAAGATGACTTATGTTTCATTGTCGAAAGGACATCTGAATGATGTTATAGAAGTATTACTGAGCACATGGGACGTTAGAACATGAGCTTAAGTTGCCAAACTAAGGAGATTTTACTAATTGAATATTGGTAGAAAGTGGTTATGACAAGAGATTGTTGGCATTTACTTCTGAATTGGGTTTATAAAAGCTGTTGAAGCTAGACTTTTGAACTTCTCCAATTTTTAATGATACTAGCTGATGTACCTAAAATTTAACTTTGGTTACAGGATTCAAAATATGCTTCAAAATTAACAGTTGGAAATTATCATAATAAAAGATCAAGAGATAAGGTAAAAAAACACACCTATTTTTATATTTCATTATCAATACAACCCCTGTTTGGGAGATGTGTTTTCTTTTATTCTGCATGCACAAACAGGAATCCAAGGGAGTCAACATTTGAACAATTAGATCACTGGCTTGCTCTATAATGTAATTCTTTTTCATAATATCTTACAATGCCCCCACCAAGTTGATCCATGGTAGCCAAAGCAAGAGCAAAACACCTCCCTACTGTAGTGTAACACTTCTTCACCTTTATACCATATCTGTGCCAAGTTGTACAACAAAGAAAGTGGAAGCTTGATGAGGGTTAACAATGATATATCACTGGACAGATTGAGACAGTTGTGACAAAGTCACATTCAATGACTATAATATGGAATTGGAATGAAAACAATGATGTTACATATTCTGAATCGATTATAAAAATTCAAGGTACGAATTAGTAAATAGAAATTAAATAAATATTAAATTAGTATACAAATATTTAAAAAAAAAGTAAAAAACATATTTATGCATTTAGACATAGTGTGTGTATGTGTGTGTGTGAGAGAGAGAGAGAGAGAGAGAGAGAGAGATCTGTCCTTGTGGTTTGTTGAAATGAAACTAAATCTCCCCCAATGGGGAAAACTGGATACATCTGCAACCTCCAACATCTTTCGTGTAAACAAAGAAATTGGAAGAAGTGTTTAATAACCTGTCCTTTTACAGCACTGAACAGTGCCACCCAGAGATTGTCTTAGCAGACAAAGTGGGAGTAATTCCCACAGTAGTCTGACCCAAGTTGTTTTACATGCATTAATAAAAATCAAAGAGCAAAGTCTTGAATATAACTTTTTTATTTAGTCAGGCCATTTTCTTAGATAAAATCAGAGGATGTTTGAATTCTGTGACCGTACAAGGAGTAAATATGATTTAAATCTTTCTAACAAGAAATTTGGTTTTCATGTTTGAACACATAGAACCACATTTTACATCTGGCTATGTCCCCATTGTTTGGATACTTGTGTTGCTTTGGACACATTTCTAAAATCCACAAATTTGTGTAACAGTCACCCACTTCCAGATAGAAGGTACTAGAGTATCTTACCAATCTGTCACCTTTTCCAAAATCCTTGATATTTGAAATATTTCCTTTTGTTTTGAAAAGTCAGTCAATAGATAATTTCCTGGGCTTAATTCCAAAATGTAGTTTAGTAAAGTGTAACTTAGTATAAAATGTCATATCTGTTTCATTTTACCAAATTCCATTGTTCAATTTTATCACTCCACCTGATATTCCTTACTTTTAGTTCTTGGGTTCTGTAAATATTATATGTATTTTATTTTATTCTTTTTGGTTTTATCTTTTTGCTTAATATCTATTTTTCAAAATATCACTCAAGAAATTTTCATCTTTACCATTTTACATATCTAGATTTATTTACATATAAACATTACTGTAGCTTAAATATTAAACCAAGAAAATATAAATGGCTTTCTTTTGCTATCTTACAAATTCTTAACTAGTTAAAAGGTGAGTGAAGTTTATTTCCCACAAACGATCTAAAATAACCTTAAAATGATAAAGGTGATCTTTATCATTTTTCTTCAGAAGTTTTTAATTTTGAATTTAGTGTGTGTTTTTTTTTAATTTGCCAAATTTAACATCATTCACAAAAATGTCCCCTAAAGCTGCTAAAATTCTTCTTTTTTGCATTTTTTTTCTTGATTTTAAATTTTAGTGGCATCACTTAGTTTTGAGTTATGAGTACACAAACTTTCAAATCATAAATATTTCGTTTTATGTCATTGTTGGGCCAGGATTTATATGTAAAATGAAAACGTTTTATACCCTTTTAAACAAGCTGTCTTGACTCAAATAATTCCATTTGTATCCTTTAAATAATGCTTTGTAAAACATCAGCACCAATGAGTTTAAGGACACTGATTGTGATAAAATATTACACTTAATTTTTCAGTAATAAAATTAAATTAATAATATTTTTATATTGAATTTCAATTGTTGTGAGGGGATAAAAATTTAACTTGCTACCAGAAACGTAAGTATAGATCATTTGAAGCGTTGATAACAGCGCAATAACTTGTGGAGTTGAATGTTTAAAAAATGCTTCTTCCAGTGCTGTAAACATCCCAACAGATGTGAACAACTGAGAAATTCCACCAGATGAAGGAAGAGATTCATTCACTAAATTTCAATAAACAATAAAAAAAAAAAATGAGCAAGACAAAAATATGGTTTGAAAATTGATCTAAATCTGATCTAAACAACATGAAAACATTCATGAAACAATTTTGATTAATGGGACGTGCGGCTTGTAAAAGAATAGGCAAGTGTTTGTCCAATTTGCCAAAGAATAGAAGTATTAGAGTTTGAAAGAATCATCCATGTAGCAACATCAATAAATCTGTAGCCTAATGAAAAAATAAGCATTTATTTTATACCACAAATATTTATTTTTCAACATAATCTCTTTCTGTCTAAATTTCTGGGATGAGGAGTTATTATTTACAGTATTTAAATTTGGACAAATATCCACATCCCTTCTAGTTATTGCCATGTTTCAGCTATGTAATAATGCAGAGCATGACTTATTTAGCACAAATTGTGTTCAAATTGCTGCAGCTGCAACAGGAAATCTG